GGATTGCTGTGTATATCGCTGTAACATCGCAGGGTTATCTGAACAAAATTTTGCAAGATGCAGGGGATGGTAGCTTCTGTAACATCGCAGGGTTATCTGAACAAAATTTTGCAAGATGCAGGGGATGGTAGCTTCATCCCTCTAAAATACCGAACTGCTAGCAACAGAAAATTTCAACATGAAACTAATACGCCGGAAATTCGAAGCTAGCATACCGGCGTAATTCAGCGTGTAGGACAGGCCGTTGCAGCCGCGCGCCTTGACGCCAAGGCGCAGGTAGGGCCGCTGCCTGAGGTCGAGGAGGTGGCGCACCCTGGCCGCCGCGGCCTCCGTCAGGGTGAGCGCCTGCTTCCGGGCGGCCGCCCCCGCCCTCTGCCCCGCGGCCCTCAGCGCGGACGACGACATGGTTCGCCGGCGCGGCGCAGGTACGCACGATTCGTCTCGGCAGGAAGAGCCTTGCACGGCAGGATTACGCCGGGGCGCGCCTGGATCTTCTCCCTCCTGGCGCGGCTGCTCTCCTTCCGAGGCCTCCGGTCGAGGGCGCCGGCGGCAGCGGCAGCGGCGCGGCTGGATCGGCGGTGCCGGTGCGCGCTGGCGTGGAGCCGGGGCTAATCCCTTTCGACGAATGGACGGACGGACGAATTGGGACGGACGGAGGCGTCTGGAAACTGCCCAGGTTATTGGTTCCTCTGGGCCAGACCCATTCGGCCCATCAACTTTGGATTTAGTACTTTTTTTTAGCTGCCTGCCACTTTATAGGTTTTTCTTCAACATTTCTTTGGTGCCAGAAATTCATAGGAAAATCAAACTTTGACACGCTCACCATTGTGCGTGCCGATTTAGCTGCCTCGGTGTCTCAAGCTCCGCGGCAAGTTTGCCTTCGCCACCGGCTTAAACATCACTCCCTTTATTTTGGTGAATAAGGCACACATACATTTTGAAATCGTGTCTGACCATCAGTTTAACAAATAAAACGTGGGTTATGTGAGACAAAAGTTTTTATGGTATAATTTTGAAGTCACATAATTCATGTATTGCTAGTCTAAATGATGATCAAAGCTAAACATTAACATACGTGCACGCCTTATTGGAAGAGAACTGCGATGCACACGATGCATTCACACAGGAGAAGTCACTCAGGGCCAGTTCTTTTGGACGGCTGAAGAAATAAGCTGCCTTCCCCGGGCTTAAAAAAAGCCGTTTTCTAAATTTGATGAGGCTTATAAATTAGTTATCCCATAACTTGTTCGGAAGCCGCAATGAACTAGAGCGACGGCTTACAGAAGAAGCAGCTTATTTTTTAAGCCGCCAAAAAAACTGGCAGACTATTGGATTGCCTCGTTTTTTAAATATGTGTGGCTTCTAATCATATCATGCACCGATCGTGTGTGAACAGAATGTATATACAACACTTTCGTATTGGAATGGAGTAACTTTGATCCTCATGCATGTCATGATGGCGTGCTCGATGAAGTTGGTCAGATCCTCGGGTTAACATCAAAGGCATCCTCCAAACATACCTTGCCCCCCCTCTATTGTGCGAGAAGATCAAGCAGTCAAGCCCCCATGCCAGGGAAAACATATACCTCCCTGGTTGGCGGTAGAATTATGCTAATCAACGCGGTCCTTGATGCCCTTCTAGTGCATGTGATGAAGGTGGTGGAGCTTCATCCATCTGTCGGTAAGGCGATGGACGCATTGCTGTAGCGCCCAAGATGCGATTCTATCCCAATCATATGATTAACTCATGATTGGGGCACAACCATATTTTAAGAGCATAGCAAGGTGGATATCATTACAACATACCATATATTGAATAGATGAGAATACAAGATAAAGGCTTACACTCGTCACAAGCTACAACATAAATACAACAGTACATCAATACATAGC